GAAGAGCGTACCTGGGAGCTATTATTATCATTAATATTAAGTTACGTATTCAAAGATTAGTTTCCGGAGCTTGACGTTGAGTATTGACAGCTGAAAATCTGTAGGGTGGGGGAAAGGGTGGTAATAAAAAAAACTCGTGTTACCTAGGGCTTAGGAGAGTCTCGACTCCAAGTTTGGGCCGTTTCTGAAATCTAGGGTTAATCCAGACACACGAAGGGACTTGTCTAGATCGATTTGTCTCGTCATGCTGATGAAGAATTGATATACTTAATGGATACTTTACCTTCTGCCTGTTACATACTTACTTTGTTTACCCTGCGGGTACAGGGTTCAAAAAGTGCGACACGTTAGAATATTTCGTTAGTTATGTATCTCTGTTTTACATTTACACAGATTTGCCATTTCGCGTATAAGTTGAACAGCAAGGCATTAGCGGATTTATCTATTTGTAACTATTTGTTCATTAAAAAAAATTTAAATACAGTATTTTTGCAGATTGAATATTTTAGTTTTATTTTTCGTGTACCTTATCCATTGCTAGCTACTGGATTCAGGATTTAGGCTCGTATATGTATTTTTAATTTAATTTAAATTCAGTGGCTTTTTATGCAAATGACTTTCTGAGCCAGCTCATTGTTTTGTGTGAACATGTCTGCGCCAAATACATCAACATCAAGTATAATCAACAAACCATTATGTATCGCCGCCATCAGCAATAAGCCACAAAGATGGATTGCCAAGTTCGCTACAACAGTTAACCGAAAACATTGCTAACAAACCGCATTTGGTTCACAGCTTCCATATCCAATCACACCCACAACAAAGTAAACTGCAGTAAAAAAAGTAAACAACAATAACTAAATGCATGTAAACTGCAATTAAAGGCAACCACATAATAACAGAGGCCAACGACTCGAGTATATGAAAGCCAAAAAAATTATAATAATTATTACTTAATTCGCAACAAAAGTTTAAAAAAAAAACAGAAAAAAACAGGAAAAAACACCAAAACAAACAAAAGTGAAGTGTAAACTGACTGAGGAGGGGGAGGGGAGAAAACAAGACAGCAAACCGCAAAACAATGAACACGATTCTAATCGCAAGCAATCAACTTTTCATACGAAATTAGTCGCGAAACACTTGTGGGCCATATTTGTATGCAAATGTGGCCAGAAACGGCGGCAGACAACGCGCCAAAAGCTCAGACTCAGACGCGAAATTGGCTACAAGCGTTTATTTAGCCACTTTAGATATTACCAACAACAACAACCTGCAATGTGCCGGTGACTGTGACCGGCAGTAGGAATGAAAATGAAAATGAAAACAACTGCAACATAATGGGGGGAGGGGGTGGGCGGACATTTAGCAATCTAGCGGGATCGCGGGGGGAGTATTAGGAGCTGGGAAGCGGAGGCGGGCCACGACACACAAATCGACGCTAAAAGCCGTAAATAAAGTTTCTTTGCCAGCCCGCCATAATTGTGGCCAAGAAAAAACAAAAATCAACTAAAAGCCAACCGCAAACCGAAATATAAGAAATCTGCGGGTGGCAGTTGCGAATTCAAATTCAATTGCTGAGGACCTGTACGGAGCGCGGGGGGAGCAGTGGGCCATAGAGAGTATATTATTTAATTCTTTTGTCAGTGGCGACTTCAACTGAGACGTGATTTTGCATTTAACTACCAACCTACGCAAATATGGCCAGGACACGAGGCCACTCGAAAAGAGTTGAAATGCTATTTGAGCGCGCTTTTAAATAAGTGACTGCATTAAATATATATGTAACTAAATACTATATGCAAATATATTTATATACCTCGTACTTATATCCATTCACATGTATCTATTTTTCGATATCGTGCCAAATGCCAAATTATTGCTTTATTGAACTCTAAAATACTTGATTAGTGAGAAATGTTACGCAAGTAAATCGTATTTTACGGAACTCTATTAAACTATTGAATATAATCTGGAGTAATGAACAGTCGGAGCTGTCCAAATTTTTACGATAAATAGTAAAATTGAGCTCTCGTTACAGAGGAATATGAATGGATTGACTAAAATGGGCGTCAAGTATTAACTCGGTTCTGGCACAGCTAATTGAATAGGTTATTAAAACTAAATTATTTGAACTAGTATTACTGTAGTTGAAAAATATGCAAATTGCTTAATGCTGTGAATACTGAATTATAATAAAAATTGCTCATAATTGACGAATTAATTATGATATTCTTAGATTTATGACCCGTTCCAAATAGATTTCTTTCAGTTGTAGACGGGTCTGGGAATTTATACATTCAACAAATGTATAGTCTACAGCCGCCTTTTTGACTCTTTTTGAATGAATCTATTTGTTTCCGTGTTTAAGTGTTCTTCGAATTTAATTTGTGAACTTTCATTATCATTTAAGAGATAAGTCGAATCCAAATGACGAAAGAAACTATTTTTTTCCGACAAACATTTTATGAAAGCAAAATTAGTTGAAAACTTAGCTAAGTTAGCTTAGTAAGTAAGTAGTAAGGGTATATTATTTTAGTTAGTAGTTTTGTAGAAGAATGGTAGACAATGTGTTATATGCTTAGCACAAAATTGCTTATTGAGCATTTTTAGTAGTACCTGATGGGTTTGATTCATTCGAGTGTCCCGAATGTTGACCAATAAGACGGAAATGTATTACAATTAATATGGATACAAAAGAGTACGTTGTTCGCTGCCCACAACTATGGAGGAATAATGTTGTTGTTTCAAGATACAGTAAAGGTTATTTCTAAGCTTTGACGGCGATAACTTTTTCCTTATCTTCTTGGCTGATTGAGGACTTTATTTTCGTCAATACCAACGTTTACAAACGGCGGTGATTGAAAATGTTCTTCTTGCTTATTTTTGTTTCTCAAATTTGATCGGTATTTGTAGTGACAGCTGAATCCAGGGACGTGGTTATATTATTTCTTATATTAAGTCAAAGAGTTGTCTATTTGTGTTTTGCGACTAACAGAACAGTACATTATTTGCAATCGTTCCGATTTTTTCAAAGAACATGTATTCATTTACATTTATAGTACATATGAGTGTTTGGGCGAGTGTGTGCGCCCATTCAGCACTTCCTCTGCCTCCTAATTTAGAGCTGGGCAAGCGCAACTCTATCAAAGAGATTGCCACAAAACCCGTCACTCGTTCGCTGCACATTTGTCGCCCTCCGCCAGAACCCCGGCCGCACTTTATGGCAATTGGAAGTAGCGACCAACACTTCTCCACAACTGTCGGTTAGTCACTAAAATGCAAGTGAAGTGGAGGAGCTGCCGGCCATAACAACAGTCGTCATTGTCGTTTTTGTATGCAAATCTAGATATTTGCATGAGGGGGACGCAGCTCACTGACTGACTGAATGACGGACTGACTGACTGACTGACTGATCACCCCAAGCTACCCGTTCGCCTCCACCATGCTGGTGTGTCTTTGTAGCCACACATGTTTGCGTCTAGAGTCTAGACCAATGTTGCCTATAATTTCGAGTATGACTCATAAAATGAGATTGTTTTATACTTTTTACGGCAGCGTCCCGTTCGTTGCTATTATTATTATTGCTTGACACTTAATAGCTGAAGTGAAGAGGCCGTGAATTGCCTCTAGGGCTGCTATTAACAAGTGATTGCATCCAAATGCACCGCTCATTTAGAGGAATAATTGGTAGAGCCGGAGAACGTTTTGATTTTGTAACTATTTATTCAATGCTTAAGTTGTTTGTTACAAGTATTCCATTATTTGTTCGCTTAATGTTCGCTTTCATAAATAGACATTAAAGAATAAGTGAACCTCTTAGGCAGAAATGAAATATTTTGCAGATATTTAAAAAATTACAAAACTATGAAAACATACTATACATGCATGGCTAATGAGAAGATAATAATCAAGACAAGTTACATGTTTCTAAAACGTAGAGTATTTGTTTGGTGACTGTACATAATTTATTTATTTATTGTTCATCTTAAAACTGAAGTTCTTTCCTAAAATGGCATATTTTCAAAAGTCTGGAACACTTAACATATTTCTTCTTTTTTTAACGGACTTCAAAAAAGGAGGAGGTTATCAATTCGCCTTTTTTTTTTTTAATACACTATTTATTTTGTGTGTAGAATACTGCTGATCGCATTGTAAATAACCGAAAGACCATTAAAAGAAATGTACCTAAGTATGACACGTCTTGAGCGAGGGATAAATAAGTGAACACGATGAAATACATATGTTTCGATGAGTATTTTAGTCGTGTTTAAATTATATTTATGCTATCGGTACAAAGACAAAGAATGTGAAAATAAGTATTAAGTTCTATTTTTGAAACATATTTATTGCAGCATGTGGTAATAATTGTTTATCTCGTGGCAAAGTCTACGTGACTCAATAATAATGATTGAGATTGAATGACGATGAATATGGTGGCCAAAAATTCCGTCAATTTAACAGAAAAGTTCGGTCAAATAATTAAAGTGGAATTAAATTTCTCCAAATAAACGGCTAATTCAAATTTTAACCGAACAATTAGATCTGCAAAGGATATGTTCTTGCTTTGTTCCAACAAATTAACATACAAGTATAACCGAAAATGGCTCTCAAAATCACAATTATATTCATCAAATTAATTGATTATTGCCTTGCCCGTAAAAATTACTGATGTATTTCCAAAAATATGAAACTCTTAACATTTTTTGTTGTTAAATGTATTTATTTCTCGAAATCACACAATAATAATCCTATTGAAATTCTACCTACTTTTTATAGGTATATTTTGACAAACTATCTAATTTATGCTGGAATTTTTCTTTCACCAATTTTGAAATCGTTAATTCCTGCTGATATCTGCAGAGCGAAACCGTCTACCACGTTTCAATAAGACTATTAAAACCTTTCCCTCACAACATGCAAATTCGAGTGATTTTCCGATTTTGTTTTCCTTATTACTAATTTGCGTTAATTGTGTGTTTCTCTTTTTCTTTTAATTGCAGTGAAATTATAAACCGTTTTTATCAAAATAACGAATGGAGGAGTATTTTGCATAAAGGCAAAAACAAGACAAAAGAAAAGCAACAACCACAAGCGGAAGTCCAGAGCTAGGAGCCTCCTCCACCCAGCCGACAAATCGAAGGTCGCCGTGAATTCACGAAACGCGCCAGAGCGGAACAGGGTGACGAAGGAGAGCGAAGCATGGCATGCATGGACATGCAAATTAGTGCATTTTAAACATTTGCAACAAATAAAGAAACACCAACAACAACAACAATAACGACTATAGCAATAAAAGCAACGCCGATTTTAGGCAAATTAATTAAATTAACATTTATGGAAATCGTAACCAAAAACCATTAGCTGGACGGATGACGGAGGAGAGATAGGGACAGACAACCAGACAGACAGAGAGAGAGAGAGAGCTAAGAGACACAGAAAGAAAGCACGATGGAAGCTTCGATAATGAAAGCCGGCGATCAGCAGCGGCACGAAACTGAACCAGAAGCGGCGACCATCAAGGCAACACCGACGCTGTCGGTGGTGGGGGCAGAAGGAGCAACGCCATTTAGCAACCAAGAGACTGAAAAAGCGGCCATGTTGCAAAGCAGTACAGCAGCAACACCAACACCAACTACAACAACAACGAAACAAATGAAACCCGAGGATGATTTTGGCGCCTGCTTTGCCATACCCGCCACTCCGCCCAAGCTGGCGACCAAATCGGCGTGCAGCAGTCGCAGCAGCTCCCTAAAGAAGCAGCGGCGGGGCAGTGGCAACGCCCACACCCACACCCACGCCCACGCCCACAAATCATCCCAACGAAATGGCAACGACTTGCCACACATTGTCAAAGGCAATGTCGGGGTCGGCGAAATGAAGACCTCATATTCCATGACGGCCCTGCCGGCGGACGAGGAGCAGCAGGAGCGACGGGATGTCCTGCAGGCCAAGTTGAACATGGAGCGGCCCTACAATAGCTTAAAGGTAAGTGCCTCCACAACAGGTGTGCTCGCTCGTGAGCTCATGGGCATGTAAATCCATGGAGTCTCGCCAACAGCCAACAGTTGCTGTTCTCGACTGCGCAATTCATCTACGCATAAATTTCCAAGACAATTTGTATACCCTTCCGTTCAAATGAAGGGGTACATTTGTAGCGCATTTAGGACGAACATATTGTTAGATTCGTCCCATTCCTAACTAACTGATAAGTAACTGTTGGTCAGCAAGACCGGACTAGGTGATAACTAACTTCTTTTCACTTTTTCCATTTCGGACAAGAAATGTTCATTTTATCCATTCCAGTTATATAATCCTGAGAAAAAAAAGTTAGTTATGTTTGTAAAAGGAACAAGGACTCTTTTTTAATTTATTTTATTTATTGTGCTTTAAGAATTACAAAATATTTCCTAAAGCTAAATTATTTCAAAAGTAAGAGTTTAGGACATTATCTCTTCCTCTGAGATAAGATTATGTACATATTTTCAAGTATAGTGGAATTTAGATGTTATATTAAATGCTAAAGGAAAAAGTGGAAAAGGAATCCCTTAACCATGGTGGAACAAGCAGTATAGGAAAATACGATTTACATTCACACACAAGCAGCGCATTTTTAAGCAATTTTTCAAAATATTCATGGCTTAAAATAATGATTTTATTCGTTAGTTCAATAGGTTATATCGAAAATTAGTTAATACGGTTACGCACCTGGGTCTCATACTCTTCACAATGTTTCCTTACACAGATCTTCTAAATATTTGAAATTTTTGCTTCAAAAGTTTATCTTAATAGCATTTAGTCGAATTAAATAATTCCCCTCTACAATTTATAAACGAAATTTTTATATTCTGAAGCTGTTCTTTTTAATTAGACAAAGTGCGCTTCGGATCTTTATTTTTTTTTAATTTTACATATATATTGAACACAAATAGTTTCATTTTATTTTGTAAAATCTCCAATTACTGAAAATCTCCAATTAGGAAAAAGAAATCACTCACAGGAATACCCAAAAATGGAATTCCCAAAGAACTTTATTTCAAAGATTGGTTTTAATATTTGAAGAATTATTACGCATAATAAATACATTTATTGTGAGACAATATACGAGTATGTCCGAGTACAGGGTAAAAGGGTATTTGACTTTGTCGCTGCCGCTAACATTTGGATATTTCGTCTTTCGACTCATTTGTGGTGGTGGTCTGGTCTGGTCGGGTCTGGTCGGCTAACGAGCTGGTCTAAACAACTTGATCGCAGCCTTGGTTTTTTTCTTGGCGCTCAAGCGCATGCTAAATGACATTCTGCCGTTAGAATCTTTTGCTAGTTGCGCCATTCTGTGTCAGCGGAAATTGTTTTAATAAATTACGGAGATTTTTTTTTTTTAAATATAAATTTCACTATTAGAATGCATTAAACGTAACGGTCGGCTGTGGCGCCCCCAGCGTTGGCGCCGCCACCAACTGGTTAGATGCAAATTGCAGAATTCCACACATGGCTGGGACGGGACCACATGCCGCGTGATTACGGAGGCAGTGCGTGGCAAATGTTAATGCTGCCTAATCGGCGAAGATCACAGAAGTAGTAGTCGTCGATCTACATATAAACATGTATGTAGGCGGACCAGTTGGCGTTCATTATAACTTGCTGAGTGGAACTACTTAGATGCGAGAATCGGAGATTCCGTTGATCAATAACTTCATTTTGAATAGTTTCCCCTCTAAAGAGGATTATTACCACTTCCATAGACTACTTGTTGGGCTTTGATCACAAATTACTATATATTTGATCAAATACTATACTGTATCATTTTTTTTACCTAACATTTAACAAATTGGTTCCAGTTATTCGATGTGATTGTCATCCAAAATTGTTGAAAATATTGAAAAAGTGAGCTTTTGTATTAATTGATTTCATGAATGAATTTTTTTGGAACGGAAAATCTATCTAAAATAACCTGTTCTGTTAAATACAAGTATTACTGACTAAGATTTCTTGATGTCTTTCTGAATAACTTTCGATAAAAAATAAAAAAATATTTTTCTACAGCGATTTTTTTTTTTCGAGTGATTGATTTCTAGTGATTGACTTTTGTAAAAACATAATTATATGTTTCCCTAGTCACATCACTCTCTCATTTTGACAACTTAAAGTTCTTTTTAAATGATTTGAATTTAATAATCGTTAGAGAGTTGTTTATCAATTCTCCAGATTCCTCAACCTTGTGAACTATTTAAGAGTTTAACAAAATGATTTTAAATATTGGTTGCTTGGTTAGCTGTGTTTTGGGTTAAGTAATAAATTTGAAGCATCGTTTCTTTTGCATTTTTATCGTCTATAGATGCGTTTGTATTGCGATTTGGGTGAAATGCAGTTGCAGTAAAAGCTCCATTATTTTGTTCTGAAAATCAAGGTACCACAAAACAGGAAATGGCTCTCTGGACTTATTATATGTAAGAGCTGATCGTGTCACTGCGAAAAAAATAGAATTAAGGAATCTTATATTTTTGAGGGTATACACTGTTCGAAAAAGAGGAAAATGGGGCAGAACTGAAATTGCTTGAAACACAAAATTAAACAATTTTCTTTTATGTATTATTATTAATAATCTTTTTTTTTTAATTTTTATTTTTTATTTTTTTTTTTAATTTTTTTTTTAATTTTTTTTTTTAATTTTTTTTTTTTTTTTTTTTTTTTGTGAACATGTTATTCAGCACTACATATGCGGCCGATCAGTGCTTATTTATTGATTCAAATATCATTACTTTTCGATTGCACGCATCCGCCGTAGTACTTCGATATGAAAAATAATAAACACGCAAAAGCAGTGCTTTATAACCAAAATGCTTCATTTCTTGTGGAGCCATTTCAAACAATGATTTAATCTGTAATTATTCTCATCCTCTATTTTAAAGCTCATCCAAATCTAACAGCAACAAAACCTTTTTTGAGTATTTTGTTGTCGGACTTCCTCGACTGTACATTATCTCTTCTGCTTTCTACCTAATATTTGAAATAGAAATTGAAATATTGTTTTATGCTTGAAGAGGCACAACATCACCAATACGACCTTTAATGTGGGAAAGAAGTTGAATAGCGTAGCATCTCATGCATTTTGATGAAGATTTATCAGACACAGGTCCGAAGTATTTCCCCCTTACTGTTTGCACAATCATCTGTTGAGATTTCGCATGCGATTCGCTTCGACAGCTTATTCATTTAATCAATTACACAAATCAGCAGCATTCAATCATTTCATCAGCTGCGCATTCAATTCCAATTTTAATTCCGATTCAATGTTTTCCAAATTGTGTGAGCATTACGATGCTGTGTAAATAAGGAATTTCCTCAATGGCTCTGTGGTCAGTCAATTGCCATTTGTTGTTGAATGACTTTCTTGCCGTATTTCGACGCTGTCGCCGCCGCCGGCTTCTGCGTCTGCGCCGCAGCTTAACAGTAGTGGCAGCGGTGGCTTTAGACGCGACTTGTTGGGATCTGACAAATAAAAATTCATTAATTAATTGCGCGCGCTTTGCAATTTCGAACGAACCGGTTGCGGCCCGGCCCGGCCCGGCCGACCGCACTAGTTGAATTGAACTGAAAACTGAACTGAACTGAGCTGAATGCTGATGCGATGACGGAGTCGCGCCAAATATGGTTAAGCATATTACGGCCATATTTGCCGCACAAATTACTCATTTTATCAACAATTTTTTGCCTAATCCGTTTTCTCCCATCGCATCAAACAGTTTCGAAATGCATATACTTGTCAGTTCAGAACGAATTATGATTCGAAAATATTATTTAAAGGTATTCGAAACTATTCTTGTACTTCCAAGAGCTTACATTTTATTTCATTATTTCAACAGTTTAATTAATTTAGTGCAGGCAAAGAGTGAAGTATAAAAAAATCGTCGATTTTATAATTTCGTATAAGTATTATAAGAGTTGCAAGAGTTTATTTTGTTAGTAACATAATCACAAACTATTTGAATCGAGGGCAGGACAAAATGTATGAAAAATTAGTGATTTAGCTTAGTGTTGAATCGATTTTTCATGATCTTCAATCTCTTTTTAATGTACTTAACAGTGGGCCACTAAAAAGTTTCCTTTTTTGTGGCCCACTAGTCGTTTTTAAAATTAAATTTTTGCGCTGACAATTGCGTCCCAAAAATGAATTTCTTGCTTTTTCAATAACTTTCTTGCTAGTGGCGAATTAAATAAATAAAACTCTCAAAGTGTTTGTTGCATACTTCTGGGCACAACAATAAAATCCGGATCCTACCATTCTGGTAAGTTGCTGCCAACACGAGGTAAACATTAATTAATTCGGCACCACGAAATACTTATTGCATACTTGTGGCCACCACAGAATACTACAGCACTGACACCAACCACAACGGGTTGCAGAACTTACTTACAACTTAGTATAGACACATACCAGTGCGCATTACTATTATACTCATTTCCGCTATACTCTGCTTAGGACTGTTATAATGTTAATATAACAGCTCGTTTTGTCGAATATTTAAACAAATGTTTGGCTTTGGTTTATAATTTCTTAATTGTAATATTACAGAAAAACGCGCAAAGCAGCAACGGCAAATGCTCCTCCAACAACAACAACAACAACAAAATGCATCGATATTCCTGGGGCAGCGGCCACAGTCACAGCTCGTCCACCAGTTTGCACAGCAGTGCCACCCTTGGCCTTGGCACACCTGGTAAGGATGATCTGTGGGCGGCTATACAGACAAACTACAACTACATCATGGATACAAATCTGCTGGATACGTGCAAGGAGGCGCGCTGTGAAATTGAAGGCGCTGCCACAGATTTTTCCAAGGAAAAGTCAAATGAGTATTGTTTTAAGGTAAGTTACAGTACACCCCCTAGCGGACGGTGGCACAACTATTTCAAACTGAAACATTTGAAAATGGAACATTTCCGACTCAGATGCTCGACGAGACTCAACGAAACGAAGGCTTGTGTGATGATCCGAAAGAACTGCGTCGATGGTTGCGTGAAATGGAAAATAAGCTGGAAAACTCACCCACAATTACGGGATTGATTTCGTTCAGCACAACGGAGCTGCAGCGCCATCTAGCTGTACACTCGGTAAGTGCAACGTTGAGTTTATTATTGTTTTCTCAAAGATTATATGAGTTAAAAATTCATTGCATACTTATGTGCAACTCAAGTGCAAAGCGTTTGATAATTTCTTCAAAAGTCACGAAAAAGTCCTCCCCTAAGGCTGCTACTTGAACAAAAATTAACCATTTCTGTTTAAAAAGCAAAATATTCAATTATTAAGCACAACAGGTTGTATTTAAATTAATGCTATATGTATGCTCGTAATATTTTTTCTTAAGCCATGTATAATGGCAGACATATTTAGATTAATTCGGAGTTGGTAAAAACTATAAATAAAAAGAAATACAATTTATATTTTATTTATAACAAAAAAGAAAAACAGGGACCAGATGACCCAAAAGATCATTTGCGGACCTAAATGATTTCCGTATAATATTTGATAGCTAATAATAAAAAAAATATTAAAAAAAACTCAGTATATTAAAAATTAGAATTCTATTTGATTTGACCCATATTTTGGTTAACTTATCCCTCGAAAGTTCATTGAGAAAAATTCGATTGAAATGTTATTTAAAGTTTATGATTTTTGCAATCAATCCAAATAATTAATAATTTTTAAATTTGTTTCCTTCTAAGACAAAAATTTTTAGCTAAAATGAAAAAGGTGATTAAATGACTCTGTATTCTAAATGCATATTGATAAAAAATATATATTCTATAGTGTTTTTGAGATATGTCTACACTTCCCCACCAGACATACTATGCTTCAGGCGCATATGCTTTGTTGTAGCGTGATCCTATCTATTTTAAGCTTTGTAATCCCTGTTTTCTCTTTGTAATATTTCTCTATTTTCATATCGATGCTACACAAAAAGTGCGTGGTCGATATACATATTCCAATAAAGGGATATACGGCAGTGCTTTGAATTTCGAGTAACTCGCACATTTAATCATGACTCTGCTCTCTTGTGTATAGAAGTTTTTAGGTGTAACGACGACTGCAACAACAAAAGCTTCAGCTACAGATCCGTATCGCAGGAAAAGTGTAACGAAGGGAACAACATAAAAAAATTACACGCGTTTCATTTCATTTAGATGACTTTGACTTTTTGCTTATGAAATACTTCCGCTTATGCGTAGTCCGATCTGTAGAGTCGGGTGAGCGAAAACTGCAGTCACTTGCCTCGTAAGCGACGCGCCCGCTATCACTACCCAGCAGTTCTTTGAACTAGACCTGTACTCATTACTTAGGTAGATTGAATGCCATTTGTACTTTTATTTTACTTTATTAGAATAATGTGATTACTACACCATATTTTGAAAGATTTTCCTGTGTTCACATTTGTTTTGCAGACAACAGAGCCTTGTAACATTTATCTAACCTGGCTGATAAATTAGACTTTTTAAATAGATAAATATGTATGTGAACATGAAATATTATTATTTTATATTCTGGCTAAGAAATTACAGACTTTTTAAATAGATTAATATGTATGTGATCATGGGAAGATCAAGATCAAGATTTAGACATTCGTCTTAAACACAAAAAACAGAAGACTTGGGAATCGTTTGTTTATGCTAGAAGTGTTTCTAGAGTAAATAATTTTGTGGATTTATTAATCCTAAGTTTTTAGTAGTATATGCTAAATGAAAGGATACAAGATTCTTTAAACTCTAGATCATATGAACAATCAACGCTTGAATTGAACGAATATATTAATATTCAAAGCTAAGGATCTTTCGCGAAATATAATTCGTCAAATATATGTTTTTATTCACAACAATTTTGATATTCTACATTTTGAAATTGACAACAAAAATGAATGCATAATAGTAATTAAAAGCTTTTATTTAAAACCACAGCAGCTCTGCTTTGTTGATAGAAACGTAATCAAATTAGAAAAGTAATGAGTTCTAAGGGGGGCGCTTGCCGCATTCAGTACTGCAGGGTGAGGCACAACTCACAAGTAGGTATTGAAAATTGTGTAATGCTGACATTGTGATGTTGAGCTGCCGTTTAACTGAGTAATGTACAGCGGACAGACGGTCGAACGGACGGGCGAACGGATCGACAAGTTTACGGTTGGGTTCATGGGGCAGCGAGCTTGTAGTGCGTTTGCAGACTGGGCCAGTCATGCCGTCAGCCATTCTTCGCCCCCCAAACAAAATGAAGAAAACAAAGTTGGTTTGTTTTCGATTTCATTGTGCGGCAGCGGTAGCGTGGGGCTGCGAGTCTGTGGTTACGAAAATTTATTGATTTGAAAGTGAAAATTGCTGCGCAAGTTGTTCAAATGTTGAGTGAGAAAAGCTAAACATCTATGGACATAGTATGTATGTTCGGATGGAGGGGGGCCGGGGTGGTCGTATGTTACAAGCGTCAATGTTGCTGTTTAGACCGTAAGATAACCTCTGTGCTGGCAACGGGGGCGCTCCAGCTTTGGAAGTGGACACGATAATTGGTGGTCGTCGCTTGTAACACCTTTCCCCAGCCCCGCGTACTCCCTCTCATGGCTGGCTCCAACATGCAACGTTGCCTGCAGATGTTGAAGCGAGGGGATCTTTATCTAAACAATATTGTTTTCTGCATTACTTGCAACGCTTCATTGCGTGGCTTTGGGCACAGAATCGCAACGGAAAAATTATATAATGCCTAGCCATAGCATACCTACCTATGTGTGGGTGTGGATGTGTCTGTGTTGCTATTAATGTGGACGAGATGGAGCATATGAGCGAGTGTGGTTTTATTCATTTTAGATACTAATGCAGACCTCAGCAGTCGTCTTCGGACTCCCCAGTACTACATACAATCGAAGACGGAAGAGTTACTTCATCTCTGGCAGCGCTATTCATTGAAGTGGCCGGTCGAGTTGCCCAGACAGCTGGCATCGTGGCATCTGCGATGTTAAATGTTATAGCCTTGGGCGGCTTAAGGTTGCCCAAGTAAGTGCAAATTGCTAGTGAAGTGCAACTACAGATGATCGTGATTGAACATCCAAACAAAATAGCTGGCGAAATGCACAATTACAGTTGGCTGGTTATTATGGAAAATGCATTGAAAAACTGATTTCTCAAGAACAGCTTTATTAGCTACTGACTCGCCCAAAAAGTGATGCCATTGCAAATTAAAAAGATTAGTGCCAAGTATGGATTGGAAATAAGTCATTTGTTGTTTTCATTCAGTCTTGCCAGTTTCCACAAATATCCATCTGAAATATCGCTAAGGTCATTTATAGAATAAGTTCCCACCAACGGCATATTGCAGATTTATTTGTTTATAAGTCATCCTAGTTTCTACAAAAGTTGGAAAAGTCGTCGTTCTCTATTGTTTTCGATTATCTCGAAAAGTGTTGTTGGAATTTCATCAGGAAATTTGCTTGTCTTGCTGTCCAGTAGTAGTAGAAGTGGCTTCTGAACTTTGCTTCTTCTTTTTATGCCGCATATGAGATCGTTCGAAAGGGCCCTTCCGCTTATTCCTTATGGTGTCTATGATTGAAGCGGCTCCTTCGTGGCTCCTCCAAAAGTACAGCCAGCTTGGGATTTAAACTTGTATTAATTACTGGAGTCCTCCTTTGCACGGATATTTAACTGAAAATTTAAAAAATTTTAAATATAACACACACATATACCCTTCATTTTGCTATGAGTTACTAAAAAATAATAAAATTATAAACATACAAGTAGTGTGGATATTATTATTTTTTAGTGAATTTTTTATTTTTTTTTATATATATATATATTTTTGAATTTGTTATTTAAATTTTTTTTATTTTTAATTTTTTTTATTTTTTTAGTTTTATTTTTTTAGTTATTTCTTGTATTTTTTTATTTATTTTATTTGTTTAACACATTCCTTTCGTAGGCCGAAAGGACTTGTTAATAGTTAACGTGAAAGATATTTTTATCGTAAATTATAGCCGTTTAAATGGGATTGACAGATCAGTTGGGATCATTGGTATCCTCAATATAAGAGCTCGTTGACTCTACAATTAAATTGTCCTTCAATTCCTTAATAAGCAGCCTCGTTTTATTGCACATGCTCGAATGGTTTCAATTTCTTAAAAGCATAAATGGAATTCGAATTTTTAGCTTCAATTTTTGTGGCAACTGTCCAGAGGGATTTGGGAGAATGGACTGTGCCTTCGATATTATATTTTTATTTGGCTAGGAACTTTTGAATAACATTGCCTTAATATTTCAAGTGACGTACTGTTTTTAGGATGATTCGGAACTAACAGTATCCTGTGCAGGAACATACTTTTTTAGGTAATTTTTGTACACCTTGACTTACAATTTTGGAGTTCTGGAAAGGATCCCTATATTTTTTTTGCAAATATAATTTAGCCTATGTTACCCGGGTATAGTGTAGCTTCCCAAAAGTAAATGAATTCATTAAACCGGTCCAGTAGTTTCGGAGCCTATTCAAACAATCAAATATTTCCTCTTCATAAGATTAGTATAGATGATTAAGTAGATATCGATTTGTCTGATAAATTTGTACTCCTGCTCTGGCTCGCTGCAACTTCATTGGATTTGTTGAGTCACTCGACAGTATTTTGGCTCAAGATCACCAGCACCTTCACAAAAAAAAAGTGCAACAGCGGATCTCGGGCAGAAAGGTGTTATATAAAGTGTGAACGGGATTTTAGCTCAGCCGGGCTGGCACTTATTGTCTTAATGATGGTTACTAATTGCTGGCCACATGTGAAATTACTTGGCTAGTTGGGCAGTGAGAGGAACTGTGTGCGCCAGACAATGGTCGGACTAATATGCAGAGGCCTGGACAGCACCACCCAAAGACAAAATTTTGAAATGCCCAAAGAGTTGTAAATTATAAAAAATGGAAAGTTTATTTAAAGGTTCAGTTGGCGCGCGCGAAAGTGCAGAGCAGCGCGATTCGAAGTTGATTTTACACTCGAGCTAATTCGGTAATGTTTTATTGCCATTGCGCGGACGGGGAGACCCCTTCGGTTGTTGTTGTTGCTGTTGTTTCTGTTGTTGGGCAGTTGGCCATATGGGCTGTGCTT